CTTTTTTGGGGAAAGTAAAAATAAAAAAACTAAAATAAGTGGTTGCATAAGTGTGCACACTCTTAAATTATGTCAAAGTACCTTTAGACTGTATTACAGCACAATTTTCTTGGGGAGGAGTCTACAAGCCTGGCACATCTTGATTTGACAATATTTACCCACTCTTCTTTGTGAAARCACTCTAAATCTGTTAGATTGCAAGGGCATCTCTTGTGCACAGCCCTCCTCAGATCATCCTATGGATTTTCTATGGGATTCAGGTCTGGACTCTGGCTGGGCCATTCCAAAACTTTAATATTCTTCTTCCTTATTTGAGTTTCTTAAATTTCCCTCAGGTAAAACATTTCTWTCTTTTTTAAATTCAGTTGTACAGGTTATAACTCACATAAGAGGTAGAAAAAGTTCTGAAATGATTTGTCTTTGTCTTATATTTTTACATCACAAAAACCTAGAATTTAACAAGGGTGTGCTAACCTTTTGTATCCACTGTAGGTGCAGACCATCATCAGTGTCCCTCTTAATGTTAACACTGCCTAAAGATGTAAATAAAGTTGGTTATGAAATACTTTCTGATAATGAACTTTATTAAATTAAAATTTTCAAGTTGATGAAGAGATTCCAGTTGACAGAGTAACATCACATTTTCAACCATTAGGAAACAGTCAAAAATCTCTCACCTTTGAAGCTCAGCCTGAAATGTTAGCGGGTTCTTGGTGTTCTGACGCATGTCCAGAATGTTTTGAGCCAGTCGAACTGAGCGGTTGTAGGACTTGTCCAGTTCATCAGTTATGAAGAGCAGGTCTGAGCACAGAGTAGGGCTGACGAGCAGGCGCCAGATTAGAGCTGGCAGGTACATCAGGACCGCCATGGCCAGGAGAGAGTAAGGAAACATCTGAGAAGGCAAAGAGAGAAAACTGTTTAAAAGACAATAAAAATGGAGCAACAAATATAAAAATGGAGCGACAAAYGTTTGCTATTGTGACAGCGTATTCAGAAACACAGTCTGGTCCCAGCAGAACTGTTAACAAGCCTTGCAGTATCTTGTTTTAAAGTTTTAAAACTCCATGTGGTCCTCATCAATTGAAGAAAGTCTTTCTAGACWTCACTCCCAAACTATTCAATACTTTACCATCTTACACTGAAGAATTACAAAAATGGACAACTTTTACAGAAGAGAGTTGAAGGTTTCAAACACTGATGCATTTTGTCTTCTGTCACTTCACGGTTAAATGGTTTTTGAAAATTATTTTCAAACAGCTGTTGATCATTCCTTTTGTTGAGAAAAGACAGAGTTACTGGTATTTTGCCTAACCTTGAAAATAGTAATAAAAATTTTAGTCTCTCCTCAAGAGACTTCTTCAGACTGAAGAAGTCTGCAATGCAGACTGTAATGCAGTGGTGTCCAAATTTCGTCCTYGATTGCCACAATCTAGAGTGGCTTAGTTGATTCCCTGCTCTTCAGCATGTMTTCAAGTTCTTCAGAAGTCTGTAGTCACTATTACAATCAGGTTCGTCAAAACAGAAAAAAATCTGAAACATGCAGGACAGTAGTTCTAGAACAAGGACTGGACCCAAGTGGCTTAGACGTATGGGGTAATGTCCCACTTTTCCCATTCCTAAGGGGTGTTAAGACTCTCATCTACTACCACACAAGTTTACAACAGAGCCTGTAAAACTGACTAAAATTTATAAATATTATACATACAACACAGAAGAAAACTATCATCAGGTCAGGATTCTGTAGTTTACACTCATCTACAGGCCAGTGGTCACTCTTTCAGGGATGAAGACATTCTCATCCTTGATAGAGAGGAACGCTGGTTTGAGAGAGGAACGTTTCATTAAAGAAGAACCCATCCAGAGGATTTACTTAACCTTATTTTATTTTTCTAGATGGGGCGGCTATGGAAGAGTTGTCAGGGGCGTTGTCCTGGAACCGGAAGGTCGTCGGTTCAATCCCCCGTCCAGCTGTCTCAGCTGTTGTGTCCATGGGCAAAACACTTCACCCCTAATGCCTCTGATGTGTGTCTCACCAGTGTATGAATGTGATTGGCACTGATTAGTCTCCACAGATGATGTTAGCTTTGTAGAGACCTAATAGAGTGCTGTGTGAATGGGTAAATGAGGGCAGATTGTAGTGTGAAGCACTTTGAGTGTCCTGAATGGATAGAAAGGTGCTATATAAGTACAGTCCTTTTACCATTACTGAGATGCATAAGGATATATAATTTTTTGTATTTTTAATGTCAGTGACATACATCTCCTCATTTCTTTGTTCATAGTTAGACTAAACTGCAGAGTTGCACACAATGGAGCTTGAATTTTTGTATGTTTTATACAAATTCATCCAGTAAATCATGAGATTTTTTTAAAACAGTCAGACACTCAAAATAGGCAACATGATAATTGCTCAAGGATAATGAAAAAAGTACATAGCTATAAGAAATAAAAATACAATCTTGCAGTATATGCTCCCAGGCCCAGACAGGCCATTGGGAGGCCCGGGAGGTTTCCCAGTGGCCTGCTCAGCTGGCTAAAAGTTCATGTCACACATCTTCATGTCTGTTGATTTAGGAGCTCARTATAGAGTCAGAGGCAACAGGTAGGACAGAGTGTCTCAGGTAAGAGATGAGGGTGATGGGCAGGTGTGAATGAAATTAAAAGGTTATTTTGAGTACATTCTAGTCAGTTGTGTTCACGTCATCAAAGATATTACTGATCTAAAGACATAATTTACAGCATGTTTAACAACTTTATTTTAAGTGTCATTTTTAGGAAGTGGTAGAAATTAGTTTTCATAATTTGGATTTTCCTGGTTAAATAAAAGGTCAACAAATAAATCTGTCAATACAGCCATCATTAGCTTTATAATCAGTTCCAATCTTGTTTCATTATGTATCAATCAATCTTTCCTAATTTACATGCAGGTCAATGAAACTGACTTGCTGTTTTTTACGTCACCATTTTTTGGCACAGTTATGTTATAAAGGCTGCATGATGCCATGTCAGTTTGTTATGTCATCAAATCAGAAAAAAGTAAAATGCTCCCCTAAATTCACTATTGGTGGTTACCTAATAATRCACCTGTTCACTGGGCAAAGTTATTAATGTTCTTAGATTTAAACATGTAGTTGTGTCTCATCATTGTTTGGCACAATATGTTATGTTATAAAAATTTAATGAAGAATAAACAAAATAAATGTAAACACCTCCTCTAAACCTGTTTGCAATAATTTGTCACATTAATTTAATTATGTGAGCCATAACAGAGTTTAAAAACAGGACATTGCAACTAGTTTAATGAAGAGTTTGTCTTTAGTTATTAAATCAAGTGTCTATTTATGTAGGTAAACGTGTTTAACAACCTGTTAAAAGACACTAGATGTTAGGAAATAGCATCTACTTCATTCAAAATTTTCTGGGTGAGGACCCCCAGACCTCATGCCAATGTGCCTTTTACAAACATTACAAGGCTTTTGATGCCCCCATTAAAGTGGATAAACCAACCCATTAGTAATGCTACACCTGTGTCCCTCTGCTGGATTAAACTATGATTAATTATCACACTGTTTTGAGTATTAGTGCACCACAACAGAAACATTAGGTATTCAGCTGATGACATGTGTAGACAGCATGTATTCAGAGTGTGCTCAGTTTAATGGAGTCTTGGTGGCTTGTGTTAATCAGGTGGTGGTGACATCAAATTCCCAGCCTGGATTATTGTCCCAGTCCACCTCTGTAAACTCCTGTTTTTGTTACGCAAACGTCCTCATTAAAGGTGAATTCTGACATTTCCAGCTTTGCAAGTGGCTCTAGGCTGTAAAAGGTTTCAACATCTAACAATCACACTGACATAAGTTAAGCCAATGAAATGGAAGCCAATGAAAATGTTTGCACTTACTTTGTGTACCCAGAGCGAGCGCTCCTCAAAGTTCCCGTCATTATCAAACTCATGATGCATGAGAGAGTCCCAGCAGTACGTGTCTACATAGTCGGCCTGTTTAACTGTGAAGTTGCTGGGAGGGAAACAGCTGATTTGGGGCCCTGTAAAATAAACAAATCTGAGCTGTAACATTATCTGCAAATATGAGAGCTGCTCTTTGCTTACAGACCAACTGATACAGCAAGATGAGTGGAAACTGCAGTCACTCAGAATCTCTGCGCATGAACATGTACAGTATTAATTAACAAAGATAGATAAATTAGTATCTTACTACAATAATCAATAACACACATCTGGCAAGAGTTCCAGTTTTCTCATCAGTTCCAGAGACTTCTCCTGGAAACACTGGGACTTGTCAACAAAGGTTTTTTTTTTGTAGCAAGTTATTATATTTCTGTTCTTAAGCTCTTGTTAAATGAGAGCATGTGAACAGGTTTATCGTAAACAGTTTTTTTCATTACTTGATATGTCCACTCTTGTTTATMAAATCTGAACAGGGCTGAACCAGTATAATACAGGATGTTTTCTTTGTAACATTTAGAAAAAGAAAAGAGACAAACTTGCTTTTTAAGATTTTATTACAAAAACATGTCAATCAAAGGAGGGCATACACAGCCATTTTAACCCTGATAAATAAATTTGAACTGATGCACCTGGCCGAATCTACAAGGCTCTATTTTAAAGTCTACTTCACAATGACCCGCAGGCCAACATCCAATTTTTGTGTTAAATAAGAGTACAATAATGGAAACATWTTATTAATTGCATATTTTTAAAAAAATGACACTGCTGAGGTGATAATGAGTAAATTCCATTTTCGATTGATTGAGATGTTTCTTCCACATACTGTACTTGTATGGAGTGAATTGCACTGAAGACATTTTAAAGTGTTTTAACCAGATTAACTGCTTTTTCATCACCAGAACAAGCTTCACTGTGGTACAGTTAGATTGAAGTAGGTCTTCCTTGGAAACTATGCCTTTCAGGTTGTGTTCCTAACCAGTGGAATAAAGGTGTAAACCCTGAGGACCAGTCGAGGTCGACATCTTGATTGGAAATTCACCAAGGACGTTTAAGGCGATGGCTTCTGTAGGGTCTGGAACTTTTCAGCTGATGGAGTCAGGAGGTGGATGGCACTGCAGCATCTGAGAGTGTTTTTTTTTTCAACTGGACTTCTGTCTTAAAGTTACCAAAGAAGAAAGGGTATTTTTTTATTGTTTCTGAAAGGCTCCAGTAGCTGCGTTGTCAATGCTATGGTCTTGTAATCCTGAGATTGACATTAAAGCCTGATTGTGTCAGAAAATGGATCTGGAATGAAAAATCGTGCCAACTCTTGTGTGCAATATCAAAGTTGCTGTGGTCACGACTACAGAAAATAGCAGCTTATTGTTGATACTGAACAAAAAGTTTAAAAAACAAAGAATTTAATTTCTAAAGCACTTATTTTCTATTCATACTGCATTTTATTTAAATAAAACAAG